AGCTCTTAGCAAAAGGTCTAAATGAAAAGGGAAGCCATCACGTGGAGAAATATCTAATGAGGTTTGAGGATCTCAGATTATAAAACATGGGGTAAAAGTTCGATCTCTCAACACTCACACGAAGTCTTCACCATTCAGACACTCGACATTGGCGTGATGGCATCCAAGGAATATAAACATTATCACGATAAAGAGTATCATGCGTCCCTTTTAATAGAAACATATATTGGAGCAGATAAAAAGGAAACTAAAGAGGAATTTCTGGAAGTACCAATGAAAATTCTATATGATGTACTCTCATCAGGTGAGTGAATAACCTTGTAATATATAATAATACAGTAATATTTATTACAATTAAGGATCTTTATTGCATCTGGGAAGGTAGGGCTGCCATAGTAACTAGTAACCAATGCATTATAAGTAGTTACCCAAGGTATTTTGCCAGTTGTACTGGGATTCTAGTTAGCGTGGAGGTCCATTTTTGGGAGGTTCTGGGTCTTTATTTGCATAATCAGACATCATTGTACCATGTTACATCATGTAAAATACAAATTAACAGAAAAGGTCTACTGTATCGTATTTCTTTGCAGACTGCTTGATTAGAATCTTATTAAGTTATTGAGGTAGTTAACATTTGTGTCAATACCTTAATTTGCCATCTAAGGGCTAAATGGAGTGATTTTTGCAGTAATTTACCACCAAGCTGGTAATTGCTAAAATGGCTGCAGTGAATATCAGCTTGATCAATGCTACAAAAAGTAACATTCAGCTACAGGTATTTAGCAGTTTTAACATCTCCAGAATAGATTAATAGGAGATACAAAATGATAAGTGGCTCCAGGTCTCCATGCTAAATAGTAAAAATGACCATCTGTGGATCTGATTAAAACATGACAGCTGGCTTGTTTAGGTGTAAATAGAAAACAAACAAATCTGTGACATCTGTCAAAACTAATATGATGAGCAAAGATCTGAGCAAGCAATTGATATGGTTCTAGTTCAGTTGCTACGGCATTGAATAGAGAAAACAAACATTTTTATTGAGGTATGCTTAATTTGCAAAACAGGAAGTGCTTACAGTGCTATTCGCTGCAGTGAGAATGGTCAGGATTTTGAGGTGAATTCAGAGTGAATTTCAAATTTATGGCAAACATAACTGAATGGTAAACATATCTGACCTAAAGAATGTTTCCAGTTTGGCTAATCTTGAATGATTGTTATCTCGCCATGAGAAGTGTTCCATCGGGAGATCACTCCGAGCGCAGTGGCGTATTTAGAGCTACTTCATCAGTTTCTACACTCAACTTTTTATTCTTTCATCAATTAAATGACTTCATTTCATTTGGGTAATAGCAATAGATACTGTTAAACTACACGTTTAGTCCCAAAAACTGAGGTAAATATATATTTTAAAGTTTTATTTCAATACGGTCAAATCATTATATTGTTTTACTTCACTTGTGGCACAATTTAATGCAGGTTCTATCAAAGGAGACACTGCCATTGACTTTTCCGTTGGTCCATCACTCGGCCATCTGATGATCATACCTGATTTTTTTAAAGAGATTATTTTAGTGGATACGTCTGATGCAAATATAAAGGATATGGACATATGGTTAAATAACAAGCCGGGAGCCATTAACTGGACTCATGCAGCTATGTTTGTCTGTGATCTGAAAGGTACAAGGTAAGGCAGATAATGATATAAATGGTAACTATTATAATAAATTGTATGTAGACATCATATCTGTAGAGAGCTTGGATGCAATAAGGCACAAGACAATATATTTTATTTTTAATATAGATTTTAAGCTCCATATTATTTCTATTATACAAGTTGTCCGTATTATTATTTTTGAATGTGCCCCACTTTAAGTAATATTGATATAAATCAAGAGTCTATTTCTCCATACTGACCCTCTGCCTAAAGGCAGTTTATTGCAACCGCACAGTGAAGCCCAATTTTTTTTTTTTTTTTTTATACACACTTCTGTACACAATAACAACTTTAAAGGGACACTGTAGGCACTGTACCACTTCATCTGATTGAAGTGATTATAGTGTTCGAAGTTCACTGCTGCCATCCTTTCATTCAGTGTTAAACTGTAATTAATATTTTAATGCTAAATGAGAATATCATCCCCTCTGTGCTGCTTGGGCGAATGAGGAAGCATTAGTCTAAACAGCGATGGGTGACTGTGATTGACTATGAGTATCAGCTAAATGCATTCAGCCTATCACAGCTCCCACTTCTGGTATGACTTGGTATTGCTAGAAAGAAGTGTGTAATTTCTGCCTGAGCAATACCTTCAGTGGGGACCTGAGCTGTGGATAGCTATGGACCCTCATTAAGTGTTATACTGCTCAAAATGGTTTAACTTTGAATGGAAAGAAAACAGGCAGGGAAATCCAGGCACTATAATCACTTCAATGAGATGAAACAAAGTACTGCTTGCAGTGCCCCTTTAAAATAAGTGATATTTTGAAAAAAAAAAAAAAATAGAATGATTTTGCTAAAGATTTGTGTGGCGGACCACCTGACACGCCGACTGGGTACCTCCGCCAATCGCTGCTTCCTAGTGCTCACCGAGTACCCAAAGCACTCCACAGGACACCATAACCACCGTAGCCCCTTTGCCACCATAGCTTGGCTGGAGTCTCGCTGTCCATTCTTACCCTGGACCAAACTCCTGGTTCCAGCTTCCAGTGGGAAGACCTCTCCTCCAAGAGAGGTATAGCAGTCTAGCTCTTACATGTCAAGGGTGGCGGTAAGGAAACAAGATATGATAGGCAAAACAAGAGGAGACATAACTAAGCACTATATATGAAAAGTATGGGGATTTAGTTACATTATATGATCATACATTGCATAAGCCTGCCAACAATGCCAATGTACCCCATATCTGGCAGGTCCTAATGTATGCTAAAAGAACCATAATAAACACATATATAGCACTTACCTGTAAGAAAGGACAGAGACTTGAAACTCTGCTGCAGATCCAGACTGAAACAAAAGGAAAAATGGAGAACAAATGGGTGTGGCAACATAAAACAAACATTTAAAGGAACCCTGGAGACTGGGAATTCCAGGGACAGAATACAGGAATGAACCCAGAAAACCAAGCATAAAGAAAACCAGACATAGAATAGAAAACCTAAACAAGAATTGTAAAAAGAGTACTGGATACCAGAAGCCATCACCAGACTGATACGCAGAATAAGGCATGATGTGACATTACAAGAGCTAGTAATATTATAGCAATGCCCCCCACTCATGAGACGAGGGTCTATGCTGTGAAATCATCTGGTTTAATGGGAGCCACAAATAGACTTTTATGTAACTCCCCATGCAAGGAGTTTTCTTATTCACATTCCGGGGGTATTCCCTGCAGGACCTGAGAGGAGACTAGTTACAAGCAAACATTCCACACACTCCTCTCCTGTGCTTGAGAGATAATTACTTGAGCACACAAATATATAATTAGATTATCTCTCAAGTACAAAAACATACAATTTAACCAACCCCAAAAGTACCACCAAACACACAAAAAACACACAACAGTCACATCCCCTGATAGCCCCCATCTGGGTGACCAACATATACAAAAATCACCCAGATCGGTTCAGGGGTTCAGGATTTTCATGGAAGTCAATTATTTGACCGACTGTGCACATGGTCCTATGTCCAAAAAAGTTCCAGGGTGTGACAGAACCATCTGTATACCTATTTGTGGTGGATTCATCTGTTTTGCCTTCCTTTCGTGTAAATGGCTGTTTCCATAGCCCATGCATACGAATGACCCGTTTTACCGAACAAACCTCCCAAACGGATGGCCACCCAGGATAGAAGTGTGCTGCTGGTTAATCTCTTGATCCCAATTAGAACGTTGTGGTTAACCAAAGACACTTCTCAATTAAAACCGAATACAGGGTGGTCGTCGTTCGTATGTCGACCACGAGGCGGAGGCCATTTTAAACCATGCGTAAGACCAGCACCGACCTCCCTTCTCAAATCGATGGAAGTATACGAACACCGGCCGTTCGGGAGTTTTAAACGCACGAATGGACTTAACCCAGATAGCCTTCCCATGGAGTCAATCGCATACCGAAAGACTGTAATAGACTTTGACACCATGGCGATTGAACTATGAGTATGGGATCTGAGCGCTATTCGCTAATAATATGCACTCAGATCCAGGCTATCTGGGGATATGTGATACGAATGCAGAGTGTTCGGTGGTTGTGAAATTATATATTTTTGTGTGTTTTCTGGTATTTTATTTAAGATGGCGATTTGTCTTTGTCCTGAGATAATTGAATTACTTCTCAATTATCTCCAGGGCAGAGGGGAGGAAACCATACTGCATTGTGGGAAAAGGTTGTAACTGTATGTCTGTAATGTCCCCATGTCCATCTGTAAGTACAGTCTCCCATTTGGTCCCCTAGGGGAGTGTCCACCAAGTGGGAGACCTGCATAAATACGGGCGGGTAGCCCACAGTAAAGCCAGATCCTGTTTGACCCTCAATGCGGTGCTTGGTCTCGTTATTGGGGGGATTTATTACCGACAACTAGAGACTGATTGCTGGAGCCGCAAGCCGCTTGGTGGATATATTTGTTCGGCGGCTAGCGGCGATTCGCGGATTTCTGTTCAGGAGTTTGGAGCCTCTTACGGATCCTGTTCAGGAGATTACCGCTTCCCCTGTTGGTGGTTCGTATACCGCAGTCTATGCGAATGGAGTTATTGATATTGCGAAGGGGGAAGGTTAACTATGCGGCGGTTTCCCTTAAAGACACCAGGGGTGTCGTAACACAGGGAATCAAGACTAACTCTCTTTTCGGGAGCACAAAAGTACCTAATACACCGAACGGAATCCTTAAATTACTTTTAAAGTACGTTTCCACCGAACAGTGCCTTTCTAAGTGGGATAGAGCGACTTCAAGGTGATGATTGAAGTCCAGCGGTGTTCGGGAGTTTCTGTGTCCGATTTCAGTTCCATGAAATTTATACCGCTGCCTGCTCCTCATTACAAGCCCGACGGTCCTGTTGGGGGCTGGCAGAGAGCTGTTGTTTACCTTCACAGCAGCTCCAGGCAGCTCCCTTCTCTCTCTTCGGTCAGCTCCCTTCTCCTCCAGTGTAAGGAGAAGGGAGCTGACCGAGGAGAGAGAAGGGAGCTGACAGGAGCTGCCGTGAAGGTAAGTAACAGCTCTCTGCCAGCCCCCAACAGGACCGCCGGGCTTGTAATGAGCCCGGCGATCTTTGTCTGTATTATGGCAATGTAAGGTGCCATAATACAGACATTGACTCGAGTATAAGTCGAGTTGGGGTTTTTAATACAGACTTATACTCGAGTATATACGGTATGTAGGTGTATTACATGATATTTTATACAGTCAGATCATGTACTAAATATTTGGTTTGATTTACAGTAATGAAAGAAAAAGAAAATAAAACTATTTTTCAATACATTCTTTGCAAATTAAAATAGTAATGTGATGGTTTAATATCTTGCTGTTTGTTATTATCGTCTATATATATACATTAAACTCAGTTTTGTCAAAATATGTATCTTGGATGTAGCTATATAACAAAAAGTGAAGAAAAAAAAATAATAAAATGCGTTGTCAGATGAGGTTTCCCTAAGAAAAACTCATGGCTGTTTGTTTTATAACTAATATATTAGTTGTAAAATATGTTTCCATGACTTTCTAAACACTAGTTTATGTCTTGCAGCCAAAGTTGGAAAGATCAAGAGGAGAAATTAAGAAGAGCAGTGAAACGCGTTGTCAAATGGAATTGCACTGAAAAAGATCAACTTGCTTCTATCACTTTGCCTCAAGCTGATTTTCTGATCAGCTTATGGGCATTGGAAATTATTAGCACAAATCACAAAACATTTCTCAGTAACCTGAAAAAGTTGTCATCCTTCCTGAAAGTTGGAGGCCATCTATATCTGTCTTCAATTATCAACACAACATATTTCAAGATTGCCGAACACATGTTTTCTGTGCTGAACATCAGTGAACAGTTTCTACAGAAAGCTCTACGAGATACTGGGTTTAGTATTGTGAAGTCTGAAACCTATGAAAATAAATCAAATACTCACTTGGTGGATCATTCACATGTTACTTATCTAGTAGCGCGCAAGGAAACAGTGGTTTAACCCATAGTAGTACTAAATCACTACTGGATAAGTAATGGAAACTACATTCTGTTCCGATATAGCACACACTGTTGGGCAATCCCAAAAATGTAACATGCAATAAAGAAAGAAATATATACTAATTTAGAAAGTTTCACAATATTGTGTGAAGTTTAATAAAAATCTTAGTCCTAACAAATCATATTGTGTAAAGTGTTAATTTATGACCTACCTATACACTCTGTCATAAAACCATATTTTATAGAAACATAGAATGTGACGAGAGACAAGAACCGTTTGGCCCATCTAGTCTGCCCAATTTTCTAAATACTTTTATTAATCAATGGCCTTATCTTATAGCTAGGATAGCCTTATGCCTATCCCACACATGCTTAAACTCCTTAACTGTGTTAATCTCTACCACTTTAGCTGGAAGACTATTCCATGCATCCACTACCCTCTCAGTAAAGTAATACTTCCAGATATTATTTTTAAACCTTTGTCCCTCTAATTTTCTTCTTTTAAATATAGTCTTATCCTCTACTGTGTTGATTCCCTTCATGTATTTAAATGTTTCTATCATTGTAACGGATCACCTGGCACCCCGACTGGGTACCTCCGTTAAAGGATGCTCCTAGCGCTTCCTGAGGACTCCAAGCACTCTGGCAGACACCACACTCACCGAACCGGAGAAACAAATAAATTCTCCCAAGCATATGAATGCTGTAGACAGTTGAATAGGAAACCATACGAATAGGTTTACCCTCCTAGCAGTCAAACTGGAACAGCATACAATAAATCCTTCCCCCAATAATGAGACGACACTTCACTTTGAGGGTTAAACAGGAACTCAGGTGCTGGCACACCCAGCCTGGTTTTTATTACAGTCTTGCAAATACAGGACTGCCCACAGGGAGGTATAAAACAACCAATCACATCACAGTTACATCCCACATATTCCCTCCCCTTATCCTGAGAGGAAACTCAATTATACATACAGTTAAAACATACTTTCTACCCAACTTTCATAACTCCAAAACCATACATCACATTCACATAAAATTACATATTCACAATCAATCCATTCAGGGGAACAACATATTCAAAAATGGCACAAATCAGACAAGGGGTTCAAAAGTTAGTAAAAAGTCCTTTGTGACTAAATGAAGCATGGCTTTCTGGCCCAAACCAGTTTCAGAGTCTTCTATCCTGGAGATAAGTAATTCAATTATCTCCCAGGACAGACACAAGACTCCATTAAGCACATGGTTGCAAAAAGACACAAAACACTTTAAAATACATAAAGTCACATTTTACACATAACACACAGACATTTCACATATCCCCAGATAGCTCAGGTCTGAGCGCACATTATTAAGTGAATGGCGCTCGGACCACACAAATACAGTTTAATCGCCATGGAGCCAAAGTCTTTACAGTCAGTTTCATACGAATGGGCTCCATGGGATTCCTATCTGGGGTATAACACATTCACATAAAGTCTGGTCCATAGTCCAAAGGCAAGAGGCGGGCAAGCAGCCCCCTCCAAGGACACGTGGCGAGGCCGGTTTCGCCACATTTCTCCCCTTTACCATCCAAACTAACAGGGTATCTGACCTCCTGCCGGTCAGTGCCCTGGTTAGTCCAGCAACCCACCCACGAAGCACAAACAGCAATACAGCCCACCCACAATAACTGGTTACTACACCTGGATAAAATAGCAACTTGTCCATGTCCAGGTGCCTCACCACGGCTGTGCGGGGGGCTGGTAGACTGCCTTGGTGGGTTGCTGAGTGGGCAGAGACCAGCGGTACTCTGCCCGGGTGCCAGTGCTACCACTGAAGTAGCCTGGTTGGAGCCTGGTTGGGGGAGGGGGAGACCGACTGTCTCCCCTCTGGATACACTGCTCTGTGGCTGGGGGACAGGACCGACCGTCCCTGCCCCTGGGGCTGCAAGTGCAGAGACTACGGTCCCATCTGCATAGTTGTGGGGCTTAACATCTCCCCTTGGTGGGTTAGGCTGCCGCTGGAGAGAGGGTGTAACAAGCTCCTCTCTCTGAACTGTAGACTGCCGCTGGGGAGAGGGGGTAACCTGCTCCTCTCCCTGACACTCTCTTTGCTGGTGGAGAGGGGGACCAACTGTCTCCCCTTTCAATATTTTGTCCTGTGGTTGGGGTGCGAGACTGACGGTCTCTGCTCCCTGCAGGACACTGTGCCGCTGGGGAGAAAGGACGGCACCTTCAGCTCCCTGGGGTACACACTGCCACTGGGAAGGAAGGACTGCACCTTCAGCTCCCTGGGGTACACACTGCCGCTGGGGAGGAAGGACTGCACCTTCAGCTCCCTGGGGTGCACACTGCCGCTGGGGAGGAAGGACTGCACCTTCAGCTCCCTGGGGTACATACTGCCGCTGGAGATCTGGGCCGACCGCCCAGCATCCCTGTAGGGCCGGTTGAGAGACCGCCGTCCCATCTCCACCTGCCATCTGTGGGTCTTCCCAGGACCAGTCTGTGAGGTCCCTCAACATTTGCGAGTAAGGACCACCTGCTTCCGCACCTGGCAACTCCGGCTGCTGCTGGGGATCTGGGCCGGTCCCATCTCCACCTGCCTGTTGTGGTTCCTCACAGGACCAGTCTATGAGGACCCCTACTTCGGGTTCCTGCGGCCGCCTCAGGGGGAGACGGCTAGCCTCCTCGGATGCAGCCTCTACTCGGCTGCTGTAACACTCCTTCCGCTGAGCATACTCTCTCTCTTTCGCCAGCGGAATTCTCGGGCCAGCCTTGTGTTTCGCTCGGCCGTGACCTGGTTCCAGATCACCCGGCGTACCTCCATGGGTAAATCATCCCCATACTGGGCCACTCGCTGCCTCACCTCGGCCATCCAATCGTCGCCAGAGCCTTCCATACTTGTCTGCTCCAAGTCGCTGGATACCTCTGCTCCCAGGGTCGCTGCACGTGTGCTAGCGTTGCCCTCAATTTGTAAATCCAAATGAACTGTGTCTCTGAGCTGCTTTACCTCGCACTAGGACGCCATCCCACCGCTTGCCACCAATGTAACGGATCACCTGGCACCCCGACTGGGTACCTCCGTTAAAGGATGCTCCTAGCGCTTCCTGAGGACTCCAAGCACTCTGGCAGACACCACACTCACCGAACCGGAGAAACAAATAAATTCTCCCAAGCATATGAATGCTGTAGACAGTTGAATAGGAAACCATACGAATAGGTTTACCCTCCTAGCAGTCAAACTGGAACAGCATACAATAAATCCTTCCCCCAATAATGAGACGACACTTCACTTTGAGGGTTAAACAGGAACTCAGGTGCTGGCACACCCAGCCTGGTTTTTATTACAGTCTTGCAAATACAGGATCGCCCACAGGGAGGTATAAAACAACCAATCACATCACAGTTACATCCCACATATTCCCTCCCCTTATCCTGAGAGGAAACTCAATTATACATACAGTTAAAACATACTTTCTACCCAACTTTCATAACTCCAAAACCATACATCACATTCACATAAAATTACATATTCACAATCAATCCATTCAGGGGAACAACATATTCAAAAATGGCACAAATCAGACAAGGGGTTCAAAAGTTAGTAAAAAGTCCTTTGTGACTAAATGAAGCATGGCTTTCTGGCCCAAACCAGTTTCAGAGTCTTCTATCCTGGAGATAAGTAATTCAATTATCTCCCAGGACAGACACAAGACTCCATTAAGCACATGGTTGCAAAAAGACACAAAACACTTTAAAATACATAAAGTCACATTTTACACATAACACACAGACATTTCACATATCCCCAGATAGCTCAGGTCTGAGCGCACATTATTAAGTGAATGGCGCTCGGACCACACAAATACAGTTTAATCGCCATGGAGCCAAAGTCTTTACAGTCAGTTTCATACGAATGGGCTCCATGGGATTCCTATCTGGGGTATAACACATTCACATAAAGTCTGGTCTATAGTCCAAAGGCAAGAGGCGGGCAAGCAGCCCCCTCCAAGGACACGTGGCGAGGCCGGTTTCGCCACAATCATATCCCCCCGTCTCGTCTTTTCTCCAAGCTATACATGTTAAGATCCTTTAAC